GTGTGTTTAGAAGTGAGAACAGTGGATATTAAAAAACAATCATACTTACTCTTACATTGTTTGTTTTGAATCATTTTCCTCGACTTCACCATCCTCACTGTGAGCTTTGATGAAGATGGTGATGCCGATGAACTGGCAGAGTTGGCTGTGGTGATGGGCGGGTGGCGGATTCGGGCAGGACTGAAGAGGACTGCTTTGTTCGGACTCGGCGTTAAACCTGCCGACAGGCTGTGCACCTCCACCACCGTAGAGGCGACAAAGCAAAGGTGCCGCGTTGAGTGAGCAGTAGTAGAAGAGTGAGAGAGCGTCGGCGGTAGCAGCAGCAGGAGTTTTCCCAGTGGAGGAAAAGAAGAAGTGCACTAGACGGTGATGATGATGATGATAATGTCGGTGAAACGATGGTATAAATAGATGGGAGTAGAGGTGCAGGAGAATGAGCGACGCGCTTAGGGCAGTGGGAAGTGCTTGCTCAGTCCAGTGGCTTAGAGAAGGTTGACGACAGTGGCCGCAACAGAGGTGGCCAATGGCGAAGGTGTACGTGAGGAAGGGAATGTCAAAGAGAAGGTCCGCAGAGAGGAAGGTGGCCAGGATGAGTTGGTCAACGGTGGTGTTCAGAAATCGAACTGGTTTGTCCACCAGCTGCTCATAGCCAGACAGTGGGGTGCGAGCCTTGGAGTTGCAGCAGACGAGCATGACGTGCACCAGAGCCACCAGCAGAGGCACCAGGGTGAAGGTTTGCTGCTGAAGGACATACACCAGGCGATCTAGTAGAAGGAATTGTTAAATAATAGTGATCGAAGTTAGTTGACATGATCAGTGAGTGTTTGGGTGGCTGACAGGCTTACCAGACACTTGAACTGCCTTGGGCACCTTGAGGATGCTTCGGTGGTGCTTGGCCACGACGTAGGAGGCCACCGCAAAGACGGCAACAGTTCCAGCGGTGGTCCAGAGCAGAGGATCGGAGATGGCTGTGAAAGAGGTGTGTGAGGAATAGCGCGCTGTGATCAAGACAAAGCAGCAGCTGTCTCTGTTCTGTTGAACACTGCTATACGATAGATGGCACAACTGTGCATCATAACAACTTTTCTGAATGTACACAAATTAATTTCGAAATTCAGTAACAGCGTTTCTGAAGTGGTACCACAGCTTCCCTTTTCGCCACACGTGTTCACTTACATTCACCGCTTCTAAATTCCATCTCTCTCTCTCTTTACCTCTTTCTCCTCTAACTCCAACTCCAACTCCCCCACCAGACCATGACCGGTATCGGAATTGATCTGGGCACGACCTACTCTTGCGTCGGCGTCTTCCAGCACGGAAAAGTGGAGATCATCGCCAACGACCAGGACAATCGAACCACCCCCTCCTATGTTGGTAAGATTTTGCGGTTATCTGAACTGAGCTCGCCTTTTCTATGACAATGTCTAATGAACGTATTCGTTCTTTTCTACCTGACCAGCTTTCACCGACACCGAGCGACTGATTGGCGATGCCGCCAAGAACCAGATGGCACTGAACCCGACGAACACCGTCTTTGATGCGAAGCGACTCATTGGTCGCGAGTGGACTGACAAAAATGTCCAACATGATCTCAAGTTCTTCCCCTTTAAGAGTAAGTCATTGAGCATCTTGAACATTCTGCTTACCAATACTTGTTTTTACAGTGATTGAAAAGAACTCAAAACCGCATATCAAAGTAAAGACGAGCACCGGTGATGAGGTGTTTGCCCCCGAGGAGATCAGTGCAATGGTACTGCTGAAGATGAAGGAGACCGCCGAGGCGTACCTGGGCCAGAAGGTCACTCACGTCGTGGTCACTGTTCCTACATACTTCAACGNGGTCACCCACGCCGTGGTCACAGTCCCTGCATATTTTAACGATGCCCAAGTAGGATTTTTTGGACCGGTTACCCAAGTTTCATTCTTAACAATTTACTTTTTTCAAACTAAAAATTTTTAGCGTCAAGCGACAAAGGACGCCGGAGCCATCGCCGGTCTGAATGTGATGCGAATCATCAACGAGCCCACTGCCGCAGCCATTGCCTACGGTCTGGACAAATCCCCCAACGGGGAGAAGGTGCTCATCTTCGACATGGGCAGTCACACAGTCAATGTCTCTCTGCTGGCCATCAACAACGGCGTCTTTGAGGAGATGGCCACTAACAGTGACACTCACATTGGCGGAAAGGACTTTGACCAGAACGTGATGGAGCACTTCATTAAGCTGTACAAGGAGAAGACTGGCAAGGACATTCGCAGCGATAACCGAGTTGTGCAGAAGCTCCACCAAGAGGTGG